CCAAAATTATAAAGCTAGAAATGGTGAAGCTAGGACCCATATTGTTTGTTTGGTTGGTTGAGTTTTTTTTAATTGTTTTGTTTTGTTTTTGAGATAGTTCACTCTGTTATCCAGGCTAGAGTGTGGTGGCACAATTATACCTCAGAGAACCTCAGACTCCTGGGCTCAAGCGATCCTCCTGCTTCAGTCTCCCAAGTAGCTGGGAATACAGGTGGGCATCACCATGCCAGGCTAATTTTTCCATCTTTTATAGAGACAGGGTCTTGCTCTATTGCTCAGGCTGGTCTTGAACTCCTGGCCTCAAGTGATCCTCTTGCCTTGGTTTCCCAAAGTGCTAGGATTACAGGTATAAGCCACTGTGCCCAGCTCAAGACTTCTATTGATACTTATCTGTATATAATCTCCAAAACCAACATTGCTATTTCATGTCACCTTCCTTAAGAAGACATTAAAGTCTGAGAGAAGCCAAGTAGAATATACAAATGTTAAGCAGTGATGAAAACTGGGATAAATGTACAACTTTGTATTGTGAGTACATACATGATTGACATACAAATGATTCACACTAGCCTCAGAAAACCAACACTATCTCCTCATCGCCATAACCCTGCAGTCAAAGGGCTCCGGCGACTGGCGGTCTTAAGCATTTACTGAGCAACTACTGAGAGCTATGAACTGTTAGGTGCTAGACATTTAACTATAAACCAAAATGATAAAGTTTTTAGCCTCATGAGCTTACAGTCTAAAAGAGGAATGCTTATTAAGCAAATTATTCCTAAATAGTTATCCCCAAACAGTTGCGTTGAGTATATAAAGGAGGATACAAAAGTAATCAGAGCAAAGGGAGCACGAGCAGAGCTGGTGTGGTCTGCAGAGGCTTCCCCTTGGACAGTGACATTTACCGTGCAGTAGCAAGAATAAGTAAGAGTAAATCAGGCAAAAATGAGAGGGTGGCTCGTGGAGGGGGGAGTCATGTGCCTGGCTGGGAACGGCAAGTGTTAAGGGTTCTGAATAGGCACGTCCAGACCTTAAAAAAACTGCAGGACCACCAATAGCAAGGGACATTTTGGGCAAAGAGGGCAGGGGCAAGACAGAGACCAAAGCCTCACGTGGGTGCAGATCAGGCAGGCTCGGAGTCCCCAGATGCCTTCTGTGACCATTGTCTCTTCTCTTCCCTCTGGCTGCCTCGCTGGTTCCCAAGGATCAGCTATCAACTCAGTCCAAATGTACACCTCGAGGTCAACTACACTTGTTCATTCATGTGTTCATTCAAGTCAACAAAAATATACTGCACACCTGGTATGACTCAGCAGCACTATGTTCCCCACCTTCATTTCCATCCCTTCACTAGACTTCTCTACGTGGATGTGGATGTTCTCCAAGTTCCTAAAGCTTTGCTTGCTCAAAACCAACCTCTGCTGTCACACTGTACCTCGAACTGTGGTTATTTAGGTCACATGTCTTCTATCTGCTATCAGAACATGAGCTCCTGAGGGTGCGGCTTATGTCTGATGTGCCTCTGTGTACCCCAAAGTACACACTTGTCACTGCACTTGTTACACTGTTGTACGATTAGCTGCTTAACTTTCTCATAGTGCACTACACTATGAGCTTTTTAAGGATTGGCAGGAACAAATAATGAATGAATGGATGGATGCCTTGTGTTTTCATCAAACACAGTCTTCTTACCTATTTCACAATTCCATTGAAGTCACTACTTATTCCTACCACCACCAACCCAACATCTTTCCAGGGGTTTGAAATCTTGGTATTACCGCTATCTTCTGATTTCTCTGCCTTCAAGCTGTCAAATCTTGTTGCTTCTATTTCTGCAACCTTACCCAGACCTTTCCTATTCTCCCTGCCTTGGTGCAGGCTCATTGCTTCTTGCAAAAACGATTATGACCGTTCTCCCACCATATCTCCTCATACTAATCCACATTACACCTGTTGTTGCCACATAAACTTTCCTGAATCATAATCCCATCCTGCTAATTCCTGGCTTAAAAACACTTGAAGCCTCCCTTTAATCCACTGCCTTAATTTCAGACTTCTCAGCTGGACACGAAGGCTTTACACATTACCCTGTCTACATTTTGATTCTAATCTACCACTGCTTCCCTGCTGACACTTTCTCCACTTCCCTGCGACTCTCCAATCAAACAGGACTCAGTGCATTTTATTAAATCTATCTTGTATTTTCCATCTGTTACTTCTGCCTAGGGCACTTGTCCTCATTCCATACTTTGGGGCCCATACTAACTAAACGTCAGCTTCTTCATGAAGTAGATCCTGATAACCCAACAGACATGATCTCTCCCTCCTTTGAATATATACAGGACTTTTTATTTCTTCCTTGGACTTCAATTTCACTCTGTTTTATTTACAATCATTTGGTACTTATCTAGCCAACTACAATATAAGCTCCTTGAAATGAGGATTGGTGATTTCCTAATTTTTTTGTTACTCTGTAGGGTCTAGTACAAATGCCTTGCAAGAAGCAATCAATAAACATTTGTTGAATTGAACTCTTCTCTCAATGTTACTGTAAGCTCCTTGCTGACAGTGACTTTAAGATTGCTGTGTCTCTCAATACTTTGTAAGTGCTTTGTACATAATAGGTGCTCAAAATATACTTCCTTAAATAATTTCACGTCTCCATAGCAAAGTTTTTCAAAATACATGTAACACTGACATTCACACAAAGTATTCAGTTAGAAATCTCTCACCAATTAATGTAAATAAAAAATAAGAAAGAAACAGATTCTAATATTCTCTATTCTTTCCTTTTGTTTTATATGTTGATGCCTAACTCTTATATGTGCTTATCATGTGTTAGACACTGTACTCAAAGTCTTATAACCATCATCTCTTGTAATCCTCATGATAGTACCATGAGGTACTGTTTATTTCTTTAGTTGATGTGGGGAAGGTTTAGAGAAGTAAAGAACTTAATTTCATAGTGATCAAGTGGCAGCACTCAGATTGGAACCCAGGCAATTTCTGCCTCCAGAGCCAAAGTCTTCACCATCATGCCATACTGCATGTTTTCTGAGCCCTGTAATTCAACAGTTTGGGTTAAAAAAAAAAAAAACTTAAAAAAACCCTTTGACCTATATTTTAAAATCATTCTTTGAAATATATGAACTTCTTGACACTTAGATTATTTTAAAGGATTTTTTTTTGTTGTTAAATCTATTTTATCCACCTTCCAATGTAAGCTTCAAGTTTAGGAGGTTAGTAGGTTTTTTCCCCCAAAAAAACATATTTAAACAACATATGCCTTTTGCAAGGCATCTGTATGGCAGTGGACAAGGTAAGTATCACATGACTACATATGGTCAATACTTGATTAAGTAGCCCAAAGGGTGGAGTAGGGAATAAAGGCAACATACTAACGGATAACTGATGATCATTTAATTTTGGAAAATAGTCTGGATATTTCAGAATCAAAGATAACCATTTATTCTCCATTCCCCATGCAAACCTTTGCACAGTTGAAAACGCCCATTTTCAAGTGGATCCTGGGCCCTGTTTGGCTAGCAGAGTAAAGGGAGGAGGGATGGCATGGATAATGCACAAATAATTCAAAATGACCAGAAATTTCTCTTTTCAAATCCCCATTCAGTCTGTAGAGAAAGGTACTAGTGCTGACTCTGATCACAGTGTTCACATAGAACACACTAGCATCAAGTGGCACTTTAAGTACCCTGAGCAAAACTGAGAAAGAATAGGAAAAAAGTTGTGTTGGCCCTAAACATGATGAGGGAACATTGAGAAGAAACTCACAAGCTATAAGATAAAAGGTGTCACTTTCTTTAGGATTCCAGAGATACAAGTGTGTGAATCGGAGACGCATGCTAGATCCAAGGAGAAGCCACTGCCAGGCTGCCTACAAGTGATATTTTAAAATCCAAATCTCAGTTATGAAGCAAACTTTCATTATTTAGAATATTTTGGCTTCTTTAAAATGATCTAAAATACTTGTCACTACTTCGGTATTTCAAGTTACAAACTGTATGTTCAGAAAAGAATAAAGGAAGATAATTAGCCTCTAATATTCAAAGTGTGTAATGGAAAATGACAGCGTTCAATACTCATGAGCATTGGTTAACATTCTGCCAACTCCCTCTGCTGCGGCAGAAACCAAAAAAACAAAAACAAAGCACATAACAGAAAAATGAGTTTAAGTTGAATGAAAATATTTTATGACACTGCAGACTTCTTAAAAGATACATTCAATCATAAAAAAAAGCAAATATGGGCAATCCAAAAAATATATATAAACAAAATATATACAAAATATAAACAAAAACAACTTTGCTCCAATGCAACTGAATGAATGTATATTCTTAATTTGTAACCTCTTTTAAGAAATCATCTAATAAGATAACTAAATATTTTTATAGAGATGGAATATTAAGGTGGAATGTCTATACTGATTCTGACTCATATTAAAGAAAGGTTCCTAACTTCCTGTTTCAGATCATTACAATTCTCACATTAACTCAAAACATGCGATACCTTTAACATAGTGAATGTGAAGCACTGACTTTCTGGATAGAGATTTACCTTGAAAGTACATCATTTGCCTTTGAAAGGCAACTTCCCTGACACTACATGTCCAGCATAATGAAACTTAACCATTCACCCTGACCTAGATAAGAGTTAAAAGAGGTGGGGGGGGGGGACTCCAAAATAATCCTTCTTTCATAGATCTCAATCCTACTTCATGATTTTCCCTTTAAATTTAGCTATTTTAAAACACTAATAATTTAGTATTTTCCCTGGAGCATTCCCTATCAAGATTAAAGAAGGGCTTATTCAGAGACAAACAGGATACAGGAGTGATGGTGCAGCTTCCAGGCAAGCTATAAATAGCTGCAGCATTTTCAAGAAATCCTGTGCCAGTGTGTGAGTTGCAGTTTAAACATGCAGCACAGATTTTATTACAATAGTGTCACCACAATTCATTGTTGAAGGAGAAATTCAATTCTTACCAAGTTTTCTTGGTTCTTGGCTGCTATTTTCTGTTCTTCTTCTGCCCCATTTTTCATGTATTTGACCTCTTCCACTGGTTTGATCCTATACTCATCTGAGTGCCAAAAAAAGAAAACACATTTTGTAATTTTTTCCACAATGGGAGAAAAGTGTCAGTTAGAAAAGTGCAATGGCATAACTTGTTAGACCCTTTCCCCTGTGGCCTTTACATGTGGTTCATTGAGAACAATCTAGAAGAAGCTTAACCAAGCATTTTGGATCTTTTTATGAGGCACTCTCCTCTGTCTACTGGAAAAAGCTCAGCACCAGAAATGCTGCTAATCAAAGTGTCACTGTCTGGTCCTTTCCCAGACAGCAAACGGGACAGTCCATCTCTAAAGGCTATGTGGAGACTATACACTTTGGGACATATCACATAATGGTCTAATACTATTGAAGAGAATATTCTTATTTTTTCCTCAAATGAACGTTAGTTCAAAATTCCTGTGGCAGCAATTTTCAGCAATACAGTCTATTCTTTGATTACTCTCTTTTGAAAAAAATACAGTACTATTTAAGACTAAAGAGTTATTAAAAATTGAAAGTTTTCTTTTTGTGATTCCTGTATTAAATTTGAACAGTCTGCAATTATTTATCATTAGATATGTTATATATATTTATTATATACATATATATACACACTTTAATCTCTGTGAAGTCACATACATAAGGACCCATACTATCTAGCAGATCTAATAGGGATGTTACTCAAGCATGGAGAGTACAGTGGGATATAGACGGGACCTAGACTTTGTAACAGTCAGAAAGAGCACATAAAGCCCAGTATCAATACACATCACAGGACAGACTCGGGCAGACCTGCAGCTATAGAGTTCCTCTCCAGCACAGAGGTTTGGTGATGATGATGTAGACATTTTCATCAGATTTCTGTCAACAGGAAATGACTTGGGCACATTAAGGTCAAAAATAGGTGTGACTCTGAGTCATCTTTAATCCAATTTGTGGGGGAAAATCACAGAAATTATGAAATTAGAAAATGTCCTCAACCAACAAACTGATGATTGTCTAGCATATGGCACGGGGTGACGTCTAGCTATGATAGGCTACCTGAAAGACAGACGTCTATCACTAAGAGAGTTTACATTTCAGCTCAGGAAGTTGAAATATGTTTTCTTATTTATTGCCTATGATTAATTGGGTGCAATGACTATATTATTATATAATTTCTTAGTATTTCTTTTTTTTTATTTTTTCTTTTTTTTTTGCTCATTAGCTTGCTTGGATTTTTCTTAGTATTTCTAATAGCACTGTCTAATGTAGTTTCAGGTTTCCTCATATTACCTTTTAACACACAACCCCCAAAGTTGTTTGTTGCAGTGATATTTCTCCAAGTAATTATACTGTTCAAATACTTCTCAAAATTACCATTCTTATGAATGTAATATATTTGCATTTATCTGAATAAAGACTTCATTGTTCATGGCTAAGCCAACTGTTTTTGCCACTTGGCAATTCAGGGTAGTTATTGATTCTGCTTTTTCCTAAAGAAATTAGAAAGACAGTAATGAGTGAGCCCTTTAGGAATACCAAGCCCTAAACAAGTTAATCAAAGATTCTGATCCACAATTATAACACAAAAGAATTTCACATTCTAATTTGGTGTTCAGAAGAGAAAACAATGAAAGTAAATTCATAATACTGACATATTTGATTATGGATTATTTACTCAGAAGTTGGAAAAACAATTATTAATTTAAAAAGAAAAGACACTAACAATGTATGCGTCTAATACAGTTATGCAGAGATAAAAATAAAGGTAAAAAAATAAAAGTTAAAAATGGGCCTCCCTAATTTCAGTTTGGGACATCAGTGTTTATAAATCATGGCTCACTAAGATAATTACTAACTTTAACTGAACTAAATTGTGATCTGAATTGCTTATGGTGAGTTTCTAATTATTTAAATACAAATAAACTGATATACACATATATGTGCACACACACTTATATTTATCACAATTCCAACTGATTCTATGATTTTTGTCTATAGGACTCAAGCCCTCACATGTTAGGAGAGTGAAGAGCACATTCGGGGATGGAAGCAGAACCTTCCGGAAGACCCAGAGCCCTCTGCCCACTGCGTAGCAAAAGGTCTCTCCTGGAGAGGAGCCACCCTACCCTGCCCACCGTTCTCTCCCTTCAGCCAAGCCCCAGCCCAGTGTAGACGCACCCAGAGCAGCCTTGCAACTTTCAGCCTTTGTTTTCCTATCCCTCCAGAGCATACGACTGAATTGATAATAGTAGACAAACTATTAATATTGTTCTGACATTTTTCTCCAGTGAAATGGAAATGCTACTGACTGCATGGCAGCCTTATTTCAAACACAACCCCCACCAATTTATTCCGAAGACAGGTTTTAACACGTCATTAACAGCCCCGCTGGCCAGCCACATGGTGTCAGAGGAACACAATAAGGCTGGATACAAAGAAAGAAAAAACAAACAGCGAAGACGGCAAAGCCAGCCCTATCATTATTACTTACACAGCACACTGCACAAGATCCATCATGGTCTAAAACACAAGGCCGGTGAGACTCTTAGATAAGCCACCATTTGTACAAAGCAAAGGCTTGAAAACAGTCTGTCAAATGTCTCGAAGGCTGGTGTCAGGCATGAAAACGTCCGTCTGGAAACAGACAACTCATCAACACAGGTGCCATGCATTCCCAAGGTGGCACTGCCGTGAGGGACCAGCCTACCTGGCCAACTGGCCTCTGCGCAGGCCAAGGGGCACTGTGGGCTATGACAGTGAAACACTCACTGCCGAAATCCTGTTTTCCTTTTGTTGAAGGCAGGGGGAACTGACTGGGGACTCTGGGCCCCTTTATCAGAGCCCACGCAGGGGCCACAGGGCCAGCCACTGACACAAGCCACAGAGGGTCCTGGCGGCAGAACAACCTGCCGACGTGATTAAGAGCAGAGGAGGCGGGACCTGTCTCCCTCCGGCTCCCTCAACACCTGTTCACAATTTTTCTTTCCTTGCTTCCTGTACTTGTCAGGTGACTTATTAAAATGCACATCAGGAAGAGCAGGCTCACTCCCTGTCCCCTCGTGTAAACGGCTACAGGCTGTGCCAGTCAAAATAGATCTGTAAAAGCAATGCCTTGGTGGTATTTTTAGCATTTTAGTCCTTGGATCACAACAGTCCCAGAGAGGGGCTGGGACTGTTTGGGGGCAGTCACTGATCAAAAGAAGACTGAGTAAGAAGGTGTCAAAGTAGGTTCAAATTGTTACCATTTTAGAAAACAACTGTAAGATCCCTTCTTACCTCAAAGAATAGCATTTTTAAGGCTCTTCTGCCTTCTTTCCTCCTTCCCCATCCAATACAGACATTTATGGTCATTTCTAACTTTTTATTTTTATTTTATTTTTTTGGCTGAGTAGTATTCCATAGTATATTTCTAACTTTTTAATCATCCTGACATTATAAACTCACTGCAGCACACACCTCCTTCTAGTTGATTCCCTTTAAAGTCGGTTCTATTAACTTTGTAGCAGATCTACCTACAAAGCTTGGGAGAAGTGGGATGGGGCCAGTGAGTTCTTGAAGGAGCCTCCATTGGTATGAAGTGATGGGATACCACAGAAAGCCAATCCCGTCATGCCCCACTAATGACTTTCAACTATTTGGAAATAGAAATTTGGAAAAGCCAAAGAGCTGCTTGGGAATTAAGTTATTGGTATTTTCTAACAACAAGTATACTTGAAAATACAAAAGAGCTCCCAACATTTGAATGGTTTGCATTTCAAAGTGCATTTCTGCACAGAATACATAAAAGAAGAAATGGTTTCATTTCCAGGCTACACCATGGAAACCAATTTAATTCAGTGTAGCTGAGCACTGTCGTTAAGAGCGCCAACACTTGGTACTAGGTCTTGGGAGGAGGTGGTCACGTGACCCAGGCAGGTCGAGAAGGAAAAAGGAAACATTGCTTCCTACTAGGGTAATAATTTAAACAGGCACAACCTCGTCTTCTAAATGCATCTTAAATTTCCATGGAACCCACACCTTAAGCCTCCAACGTGGTCTCTAGCCCTCCTAACTCTCCACCCAACTCCCACCTCTATTGTAGTGTTCTACTAAGGCATGTCTTAAAGACCATTTTTCTTTTCTTTTTCTTTTTTTCCTTTTTCTTTTCTTGAAACAGAGTCTTGCTCTCTTGCCCTGAGTAGAGTGCAGTGGTGTTATCAGAGCTCACAGCAACCTCAAACTCCTGGGCTCGAGCATCCTCCTGCTTTAGCCTCCTGAGTAGCTGGGAAGACAGGTGAGCACCATGGCACTCAGCTAAATTTTTCTACTGTTTTGTAGACCTGGCGTCTCGCTGTGTTGCTCAGGCTGGTCACCAACTCCTAACCTCAAACGATACTCCTGCCTTGGCCTCCCAAAGTGCTAGCATTCCAGGCGTGAACCAACGTGCCTGGCCAATAATATAATGTCAAACGCTGTTTCTCAACCTTACATCTTCTCAGACTTTCCTTCACACCCAATCAAAAGATAACGCTTATTAAATTAGGAATCTCTGATTGGTGCACTTCTAAGAAGTGCAACACAAAGAGAAAAGATTGAGGCTGGATGTGTGTTATGGATGGGAATGGGGTGAAGGGTCCACAGCTACATTTCGGAGCAGGGAAGTCATCACAGGGCAAGCCAGTCTTACCCGGCCTTTTTTTTTCTTTAGGGTTGCTGAGCTTTCTGGATCTGTGGGTTGCTACTTTTGACTAAACTCTGGGAACCCAAGTACAGTAGTACTTGGAGCACATTCCTCAGCACACACGGATTGACCATGTCACACTCTGCCGCAGTTCACCAGGGCTGACTCTAAATTTGCGACAATCTCATGCATGAAGCAGAGACTCAGTCAAAGGACCTCATACACCATCAACTCCCTGAGTCAGATAACTTTTTCATTGGTGACTTTTTCATTTTTGTAGCAATAGGTTAGTGCCTTATAAATATTGCTAAAAAAACCTATATTTTAAAACCAAATGTTGCTAAAAAACCAAATATTGCTAAAATACCTATAAACCTATTGTT